AGCGCAATCGCTTCCCCTTCGCCTCTTTCAACGTAATCGTCTTCGGTGATCTGTTTCAAGATGCGCTGGAAGTACATCCTAAGGGTTCGTAGGCCCCGAAGATAGCCACGATCAATATCATCTGGATGCTGTGGAGGGCAGGGAGCATCAGGCGATATTTCATCCTCGCCCGTAACGCAATTAGCGAAATCAACTATCTTCAACTGCACGTCCGAGTACCCATCATCTGAAACCTGGCGTTGTAGAGTGTCTCGGATATTGGCCGACCCGGAGGGGCCATTGTTTTGGGATGTTTTGTCGAGATTATGGGGGTCTCCATCGTAAAGAATCAGAAGACTGCTGGCATACAAGCGATAGCGCTTGAGCTTCCGAATCATGTTTTCCAGCTTGGCCAGCTTTTCGAGAATGGCGGGTATCTTTTTCGCCACACTTCTGTAACTCGCACCATCGTAGAGAAAGCGAGTAAGAGCATCCTGGAATTCACGCCCCGATTTCAAGTCTCGTCCAAAGTATTTGTCCTCAAAGGAGTACTCTTGCTTTTTAACATTCCACGATTGCATGCCGCATAGACGAACGCCTAATTGCTGGGACGTCGTTGACTGGCACTTGCGTCTCTGTGACTTGCGTTTCTTCTCATTGGCCTCGATTCCATACTGGCGAGTCCCCATCTTGAGGTCCAAGACACAGGGTTTGTTCATGCCCGCAGTAAGATCTTCTAGCAAAAGAAAAAATTGCACTCGATCGTCTTTCCGGGTCTGGGCCTCTTTGGGGTTAGAAGGAAGTTGCGCATCATCGACAAGATTGGTACTGGTTCGGACTGAAGACCGGGAAAGGACATTGTTACCCACGCGGCCATCAAGCTGCACAGAGTCCGCTCCTGGAACTTTGGGGGCTACTGGGATTGAAGAATTCGTGGCAGGATGGGATGGTGGAGAGACCGGATTATCGCCCTCCATTGAGAATATCCCGTCTTCCTTATCACCCCCGTAACCTTCATCATCAAAGAACAGCAGGTCGCCTCCCGGCTGCCCAGAAGTCATGCTTCCCCGTCTTTGCAACCCGCTCCCAGATCGGCGCCGCCTCACCTGCCGAGTCCTTGATAACGAGCTGGAACGTTGGGGAGACTCTTCGGTCCGCACTTTCTCGAGACGATTGTGGCCCGCATCCAGTGCCGTCGATGCTGAAGATGACAGACCCGGTCCGTCACTTGTCTGCCTATTAATATCGATTGCCCCGGACTGTGTCGAGTCAGGTTCTTCAGGTATAGTTCTGCGGCTGCTGGCCGTATGATCTTCCGATAAATTGGCCCTCCGCCGGATTTCAATGCCATCTGATGATGTCCTCGGTAAATTGAGATGGCCTCGAGCATGGCGACGGTGATGGTGCACGGCAGGTGGACTGAAGACTTCACGCAGAACTTGCTCTTGCAGCTTCCTGTTCACAGTTGTGGCACCCCATTGCTTTTTCTTCAGGGTCTGTGACCCATCCAGAAGGCAGCTTTGAGTCTCTTCGTCTCGCAACTGCCCGAGATCCCCAGGGAAGCGCCTATTAGCTGATAAGGAACCGTCAGCAGTCCTTGGGCGCTGGCCGCGGGAGAAAAGATCGGCTGGGATTATATGACGATTGTTCTCGAGAATGACTTGAGGAATTATGCCGGTCACCTGCTTCTGGCTGAAGATGCGTTGCGGTTCGGCGTCATTCTTAGTAGGGCTGCGGGCATCTGCGGCGGCCACTCCATCATTGTCCGCACTGTTAGTAGAATGGATCGCATTGCTACTGTCGGGGCGTTCCGTGTGGCTCGCTGGGGTCTTCGATCGCTTGGGAGTTTTTGAAAAGGTGACATTCAGAACGCCAATGTATCTGGAGGACAAGTTAGACGAAATCTGATTGAACCATCCCTGCAGGCAAACTGCTTCACCGCCATACGTACCTAGGCAGAAACATCAGCATCTCAGGATGCCTGCGCTCGATGCGCTCATAAAACTCGTTTTCCCGGTTGTTGAGTTGCTTGCAAACAGCGCGACGGGAAAACCGAAAAACGGTTGTATGACCCCCAACCTGATGGCGATAAGGCTTCAACTCCACAGCCCCAAGCGGACCAGCCGGTTCATGCTTGTGACGCGGACGGGTCAAACGGGAGCGCTGAGTCGGGGTGGCCGTCGGCGTCACCTCAGCCTCATCCGTCACGCTGGACTCTTCATCACGAACAGACATGCCGCTCTCGTCGGCAGACGCGGGTTCGGACTCTGTTGAATATTCAGCAGGGCGCTCGGGTATGGAACGAAGAGACTCTTCATTAAGTTTGTCTATGGGAGCATCCTGCCTGCCTTGCAGGTCGCCGTGTAGGATTCTACTATCTTTCTTAGATCGAAGGGATATGTCCACATGATTAGCTTCTTGCTCCTCAGGAACGACTTGTCTCTTTGGCACCAAAACGTGACTACTCTGCGCTGTTGAGATACCAACGGGTTCCACGCTATCTTGGCCATCTGTAAAAGGTTGAACCTGATCGACTTCCTCAGAGAGAGTGACGCGCTCGTGTGGGAAATAGACAGCAGACGAAATTTGCTCATCTTCCTCTTCCTCAAACTGCCCCGAGCCACGGCGTTGCTCTCTGCTCGCGTCCGATGGAGAAAGACGTGACTCGACATGGTCATGCAACTCGGGTTCCTTGGAGAAGTAATCTCGGTTTCTCTCCGCATATTGGGTTGGGATGCTCCGTGAAAACGAGGTGCCATGGCCTCCCCCGGGAGTGAGATGGAAGTTGCGAATCTCCTCGAGCAAACTGCGAGGTAAGGCCCTAGGCTGGGATTTAACCACATTGTCCGTTGGCATCTGCGGTCCAGATTCGCTTTCGGCGCCTGGCGTGAACAGAGGAGCGTCAGCAATAGAAAGATGTGTAAGGCTCTTGGAACCTGTCAACCCCGTATCCTCAGACACGGGCGGGATGTGCAGATTCGAGTCACGGCGTTCGCCAGAGTAGCGAGGTTCTGAATGAGCCGTCAATTGCTGCTTGTCGTGTGGTTCTGGCAGCTCATCGAGTCGACCCGCGCGCTCTTCCTTGCGTTTACGATCGGGTGATGTGGTATTCTCTTTGAACAGGCCCAAGTAATGGCTTGACTTGCGGCTGCGCACATGAGAGGTCGGCTCTGCATTGGCCAGATTTGCTTCGATAGACTGCTCTACTCTGGCCCGGCGGCCCCGACTCGAGCTTCGCTCGGGTTTCATCACACGTGCGCCGTCCTGAATTTGTTGTCCGGACCATGGCTGAGAGATGACTTCGATGTTGGTAGCCGGAGGTTTTTTGGTAGGCGAGCGTGTTGCAGCATGAGACGTCGCCAAGGAAGCATCGTTTAGAGAAGCAGAAAGAAGACTGCGATGAGGCGATGGATCCTCCGCGATGGCAGACTTCGTCGCAGCATCGTCCGGCGCGAATTTGCGAAGATGTTGCAGGCTCTCCCACACTGATGTATGCGAACCCCGTCTTGGCAACTGGGAACGCTTCCCCAAGGTCGCATCAGAGTCCACCGGCAAGAGGGGGGTAGAATGCGGGACTGCCGGTGGAAGCAACGAGGGAGAGCCTAATGAATGCTTCCTGCGAACGTCAACTTCCATGTGGGAAGGGCCGACGTGAGTAGGACGGGGAGGGAGGACCTTGTGAGGGGAAATCGGAGAAGGAGTGGAAGAAACATCTTCGAGGGGAGGTATCAGGCTAGCGGGTAGCTCATTGTGCACATCTTGCACGGGCGCAATTTGCGGTGTGACGGCGGATTCGGTATCAGAAGGGAGGTAATGGGTTGCAAAAATGCTATCTCTCTCGGACAGCTGAGGGCTATGCGATCGGTCTGGGCGGGACAGCCGTTCCGCAGGGACGGTAGTAGGCCTTTTTAGAGTAAAGGTCGAAACAGGCGTGGCCCATTGACGAGCCGTGGGGGATTCAGCGCGGGATGGGGAGGGAACTTGCTGAACGACATCGTCATGGATGAGCTGGCTCCGAGCGTCGTGGTGGCGCTGCTGCTTGTCGTGAAGGAGTTCAGGCCCGTCGGAGCAATCATGTTGGGCAGACGCGGCAGGTGTCACCAGGGGTCCTGACCAGGTATTCTCAGTCGCAGATGGAGGCCTTGACATGGGGAGGACATTGGTCGGAGCTGCAGGAAGGAGGACAGAATCGAAAGGAGCCGAGAAGGAAGAAGCGTTGTTAGGCTGAAGGTTACGGGTTGGGTGGTTGTTTCACCGAGGAAGGCGGAAATAGGACAAGGGCAGAGGCGGATCTGGCGTCACTGGCAATAGAAACTCAGAAAACCGGGACAATCGAGAAGATCAGGGAACATCAGCCACGTTCCGGGGCAAGAGCATCTTACAGGCTGGGAATTAGTTGCAGGGCCGTGGGCGGGGATGATGGAAAGGGCAGGGGAGCTGAGAACCTCTCCAGAAGGCTTAGACAAGACAGGTTAAATTCGAGGTGTTATCGTGGTTGGTAAGGATGATCGGGGAACGGAGGCTGGAACTAGTGCGTGGTGAGCAGCGGTACTAGTAGCTTTGGGTTGGGGGGTGTGGGCAGTGAGGATCGTAGCATTCCCGGCAACTGATAGGGTATAGCAGAGGGGAACCAAGCAGGGAGGAGAACAGAGAGAGAGAGAGAGAGCACAAACTCTCGGGAAAAGAATAATTGTTTCTTCAGTAAGTAAGCAGGAGGTATCTTACATTCCGTCAACCGGCAGTAGTAGCAGCAGTAGTGTCCTTTTCTTTCCCCCAAATAGCAGGCAGCAGGATGGTTCTAGTGGAAAGGGAAGAAGAAGGAACTAAAGGAAGAAGAAGCAGTTTGGCTCACCGCGGAAGAAATGACGCGGATCCTCGTCACCGCCTTTGGGTGGAGCCTCTCCCCCGTTCGAGCAAATTTGGGGAAAGTCAAATCTTCCTCCCTTTTTTACCATTCTCTATGAAGTAGATAGAGATACGGAGTAGATAGATAGTAGTACACTACAGGAGGTGGTAGAAGAGTGGACTCTTGTTCTGCCTCATCCAAAAATGTTTGCGGTACCACTAGTCCAGATATGGGGTCTGTCTGTCCAACCTGTCTATTTAGTACCGACTTTCACACAAAGAACCCTCTTTCTAGAACTCTCAGCCACTGATGATCCTCCCCGAAGCCAAGTCCAAGGCACTGGAACTCTGTTCGAGCCCAAGTCACCGAGTCGTTCATAGTAACCCCCATGAGAACATTATTTGAGCCAATGGCGACTTACAGATCCGAGTAACTGATACGTAAAATCAACAGTGACAATGGCCTTTCTCGTCGTCCAAAGGGTGAGAAGCCCCGGTCATTTATCGGATCCTTCCCTCCTTGACCAGATTCGAAGTAGAAGTGACCTAGGTCATTCCCAAACTCATGCCCCGATGGTCCCGTGGATGAAACACCCTGCGTCTGATAGTCCGGCATACCACATCCGGTGCTGAAGCATTCTGACTGAATCACCTTATTGATCCAGTAGAAATGGTACAGACCAGGTCAAAGGTTCAGACAATCCCAATGACTGGAAAGCCCCCCTTGGCACATGGGCGACTATTGATACTGGTTCGCATGTGACGTGCTTGCGCACTCTTCTAGGAGAAATCCCTTGCACAGCATGGTGGACGCGGAACAAATCACCATCCACAGGCGCCTTCGGGGAGCTCGGAATGCAGACTACCGCCCTGCACGGAACATGGCTGGCTGGATAGGTTTCTCCCAATTCCCTCGCTCAACAATTGCAGCGACAGACACTTGGATTGACCCGAAAAACAAATACTGTATATGAGACCGTGGAAATAGAACTCGGAACGGGTCAACCCAAATTGGGAACTGTGGCTTGCATCTGTAAAGCTAATCCCGAAGTTGATCTGTAACCTCGAAGAGATGAGGTTTTGCTTTTTCTTTTCTTTTCTTTTCTTTTCTTTCCGAGTGAGGAACCAGGACCAATTCCCCTTAGAAGGTTCGAAGATTCGACGACCTTGCATAGGCGACTATTCACACTGAAGTGTCCTTGTTTGCGGCGAGGCTAGTACTATTGATTTTGGTGCCCCGGTGGGGTCCGCGATCTGGGAATTCCACTAATGGAGGTCTCTAGGCCGATCCGAGGGAACTAGAGATTAGAGTGCATTTTACTCCGTACTCCGGAGATAGACGGTCGCTCGATAAGACACCTCGAGATAACCTGCTGAATAGATAACGACCTCCTTTGTGGCATCTGACCCATTCGGCTGGTTTGTATTGGTGGATGATTGATCAACAAAGCATGGGGGGAAATGATTGTTTTGGCTTGAGAAACCCTCAGGAACCTCCGGAAACACCCTGTCTGAAGGGGGAGAGAGAGACAATACTACCAGCGGGCAAAAGTAGTACGTAGTAGTAGTAGTCTTCAATAGCATCCACAAGAGATCCCAGCTACCGAGTGAACAACATTCCCGCACTTATCAATTCCCCCCAATTGGAGGCCCACTCCCGCATAACCCCGTTCCAGCGGGATGGACCAATGGTTGGTCAACGTGATCGGCTTGTTGGTTGTTGGCAACCGTTCCCTGCCCCATTGATAAGGCGCCCAAACGGCCAGATCCTCCAGTGTTTTAAAGCCTAAGCCGTGAACTCCATCCCTGTCGGTCCTTCACAACCTCATTTAGGGCCTATTTGCAAATTCCGTGTTCCCTTTCTCACCGAGACTGCTGCGTACAATCCACTCTATTTCCTGATTTTCTCGCTATCAGTACTATGTAATAGGTCTCCACCTTCTGTCCCTCCCTGGGATCCTATTTGACTCCCTAGTATCCTTTCTATCTACCTACCTCATGCCCCTTGGTCAATTTGATAGATATATCCGCTACCACTGCCAAATATGACGTGTATCGCTTGGTTCTAGGGATCATCCTCGTCAGTTCCCTTTTTCCTAGGCAAGGGCAAAAAAAAAAAAAAAAAAAGAATTTCCATCAGGGTCACCAGATCAGGTTTTATGTCCCGTTGAGACTGACATTCCTCAAATCGAGCCACCATGCCTCGATTGATTCCGTGCTGGTCGACGCCTAGCCAAGACGAGCTGCATTTCGGTGAGCCACCATCGAGTATTGCGCAATTCTGATGGTTGTTTGACTATCCGCCTTCCAAGGCTTCGGTGTGAAACAGCGTGAAGTTATTGGGGTAGCACGCAATCGGAAACGAACATATACGCTGTGGCAGTTACTTGAGTAGTACCAACATCTCGATATTGACTAATGCTAGAACAGTTGCGCGAGGGTAATATATTCTGGGTTAGACTCCTGGGCACGGGCCTTCTTCCATCATTAAATTAAGAGGTTGTCTACTTCCCTAGATCCTTACATGCTACAAGATAATCGATAGGGGAACTAAAAAGCGCACCATCCAGCCAATAGTAGGAACACTGACACTAATCCATGCCAACTACTTACTAGTAATCCTTCTCTCTAACGGCTGGACACCCACCGAATAGAAGTCGCCTCGCCCTGTTCATCCCCGCCTAGCAATGCCGAGCCTGACTGAAATTAGCCAAAGATAGTATATATAAATACTCGGAGCTCTCGGGTTTGAATTACCCTTCCTTGGCATGTAGGGCCTTGCCCAGAGGCACCAGTGTTCCGGCATTTTCATTCCACCCCCTGAGTAGTAGAACATCACTAACAGATATTAGAGATCAGTTGCGAAGGGGCCTGGTCTCGGTCCTGAGTATATGATTTCTATAAGCGGATCATCTGGTCACTGGCCAAGCAATACTTATTCTCATGTAGTCTCGGTCAGGTGGAGATGGTTCAGGAGTATTAGCGACGTGCAGCACACCAGTTAATCTGAGCTATTATACATTCATAATACTTCGTTAGTATCCGTTCAGTTTATAAACTCAAACGAACCGTGATTATTGGAATATCCTCGTGGACTCTAATGATCTGGCTTGATAAAGGTAGTGCATGTCATGGGCTTGGAGATCTGGCACTCACTCTATCAGAACGACTTTTTATGCTAGTTCGAGGTGGTGACTCGATATTTACTGAATGAATGTTGCTTGCTGGGAAGTACAAAGCTATAAGATACTCGTGGTCGAAAATGAGCACAGAACTATCATATACTAGTAGTATATGTAATCGGGAAATATTCTGCCAGTGGAATGAGACTACTACTACTCCAATTCGACATCCTATGAGCTATCGGTTTTTGATCGAGAACGAGGATTTCCAGTCAATCATTCCACTGCGGGATACATCCATACAGCCCTTCTATGATAACTATACAAAACCCTTCGTCATTTGGAGCAGAGCGAGAACTCTGGCTACAGAGTAGTATATCTAGATCTACTAGCTCACTGCACATCAAACGACAATAGAACACCCCCTAGAAAAAGTTGCAAGCCACAGAAGACAGATACTATGGCGTCTCTGCCCACTATCTCCACCATGTTTTTACGTGTGCTTGTGGGAGATCGTATCTCATTTACATATATTATTGATCAGAGACGCGGTAAAGTGACTGTGCATATGATCAGAATAATATCCTTCAGTCGGTTTCAATTGGTCCAATTTACCAAATGCCTAGTACTGTTCCAGTGAGTTTAAACCAGATTATATAGCTAGATATACGGGTCTGTATATTGGAAACAGTCTATAAAAGACAGCTCTACTGAGCAGATATCTACATTTATAGTACCAGGAGGGTCGTACCTTGCTATTATGCATTGGAATACGTGCAGAAAGGCTGGTATAGATTCCTGTATTTGGTTTACTAAGCTTCTCATTGAACTATGAAGATATCGAGAGGGCGAAGATTCACTGTAGCTTGGGTTTATTATCTGAGGCATTACATACGAGAAGCTCGGATACAGAAAGGGAGTAGTATATTACAACTGTTTATATAGCAGACTAGTCTATATAGAACTTGCTCAGAATGCGCAAGGAAGCTTACGACAATTAGCGATACGCACGCTTTTGAATGCACCTCCGCCTTTGGGTCCGAAAAAGGTCTATTAATCCAAGTGCAAGGGATTCGATTCTCCGTTGGTCACTAGAGTCACAGGCTTAGAGGTCTATAGTTGGCAGACTGATAAGCAGGCTCAAAGACAATTCAAGAAGGAAGAATAATCGGAATGAATAAGCTGGAATTAGAAACAAGATACGAGAATCTGGCTCTGGGCTCTGTCTTGCAAAACTGCTGGATCAACCAGAAGCATAAATGGTCGGGAATTATGGTGAAAGATAAACAAGTATGAGATATTTAGATGTTATGGTTCCACCCTATGAAGTATACTAATTAGCGATTTAGCTTTCAATCATGCACTTTCCTTTTTGCAATTGCTTCCATCCAAACAACTATTACCGTTCTATAGGGATTGTTCAACGAGTCAAGAATCAACCACCCATCAACCACCCATGAGTGTCAAATTGAAAATGGATAAAAAAAAGGTAGTAAAAGCTGCTTCAAGTGAAAGCAAGATATAGGCACCTTTGAATAAAGCAACTATAGCTTAGCCTCTCGTGCCTCGTTCAACTTATCCGGCAAGAGTCTCCTAAGAATCTTGCCAGTCGGTGTTTTGGGCAAGGTCTGAAGATGGAAAACACCTCCTCTGAGCTTCTTATACCCTGCCAGTTGGCCGTCCATCCAAGAGCGGATTTCATCAAGGACTTTCTGTTTCTCGGAGCTTGGCAGCTCCGCCGTCTCTGGTGAGAGACTCACATATGCGAGGGGAACTTCCGTCACTTGTGCATCGTCGTAAACTGCACAGACCGCAGCATCGGTCACTTTAGGATGATGCAGAAGCATGTCTTCAAGCTCTGAAGGTGCGATTTGGAACCTAGAAAAATCGGGTTAGCCAAGGGCTGGATATTGCAAATAAGGATTTCTAACCCACCCTTTGTATTTGATCATCTAAATACCATCGTTCAGCTCCAAATCTCCATGGTGGAAAAAGACAGAACAATCTTACCTCTTTGAGACGGTCAGTAACCCAGAAGTTTTGGTTCTCGTCCAGCTTCAAGATATCTCCTGATTTGATCCATCCGTCATCGGAGAAAGTGCGCTTTGTTGCTTCATTGTCATTAACGTAGCCCCTGTAGAAAAGTTAAACACATCCATGCTTGCAAGATTGAACGGATGACAGAGTTTCATACATCATAACAACTGGACCGCGGAGCCAGAGTTCACCTTCCTCACCGAGAGGGACATCCTTGTTTGTCTTGGGGTCGACAAGACGAGCTTCCCTGTTATGGCATCAGCAAAAGTAATGGCTGCAAAGAGGGAGTCAATCAACAGAGCTTACATTCCTGCAAATAACTTGCCAACACACCCGAAAGCCTTCTCGTCTTCATCGATTTCATGAATGACTCCCCCGGAACATTCTGTGAGTCCATACCCTTGTATTTGATGTTAACAGACTATCACTGAAACACGAAAATAACGACACCTACCTTGACAGATACTGGTGTGTGGAAAACGCTTTTTAAGAAGTTGCTGCACCGATTTCTAGCGAGAACATACAGTGAGTATCACACACAGGCTACAGGATATCAAGCTCAAGGGTTTACCTTCAACGGGGCAGCAGAAATGACAATTCGCTGCAAGGAGGCTGAGTCATATTTCTGAGCAATGGGCGAGGCGGCAAGGCCAAGTGCTACTGGGGGCACAATATGAAGATCTGTAACCTTTAGCTCGCTCGACTTGCGACAAAAGGATTCCAAGTCGAAAGCCGCAAGGCCGCAATAA